AAAAAAAAAAAAAAAAGAAAGAAAGAAAGAAAAGAAAAGAAAATGACTCTTGGTAGGTGAAGACATCAAGTAAAGCAGTAATTCTAAAAGTTTCCACTTTTACAGTTAACATGAATAGCTTTTCTCTAACGTACAACTTCTTAATTTCTCTTTTCCATGATTTGGCTATTCTTTCTTTGTAAAGAGGATTTGTACTGGTCAGCTTTCCCACTACCAGAACAAAATACCTGACAATCTCACTCAAAAAACCAAAAAAACAAAACAAAACAATTGCCGGGCGTGGTGGCGCACGCCTGTAATCCCAGCACTTGGGAGGCTGAGGCAGGAGGGTCACTGTGAGTTCAAGACCAGCCTGGGGTACATAATGAGTTCCAGGTCAGTCTCAACTACATAGTGAGACCCTGTCTCAAAAAACCAAAAAAAGAAAGAAAACAAAATATCTGACAACCTCAGTTTGAGGAGAGGTTTAATTTGGCTCATGGGTTTCAGTCCGTGGTAGGCAAGGTCCAAGGCAGAAACATCATGGCAGAAAAGTGTGGCAGAGGAAAGTTGTTCAACTGATGGCATCAAGGAAGCAAAGAGGGAAAAGCCCAAAGAGGATGGACCAGGGACCAGACATAGTCCATATGGTCATGCCCCCATGAGTCACTATCTCCGAGTAGGCCTTGCCTCCTAATAGCTCATTCAGTTATGAACTCATGATTAGTTAACCCAATGATGAAGTTAGTGCCCTCACACTCCAACCACCTCTCCAGGAGTCTCTTAATTCAGTCAAGTTGACCATCAAGATTAACCACCATATTACCTTTTGGTAGATATGATTGCCAGTATGGTAGAATTTACCCCGGATAAGAAGTAGTCTTTATTCTGAACACAGATTTAACCTGCTCTGCTAGTCAGTGCCATGCTGCTGAGACAAAGCACCTGAGAAAATTGATTTAAAGGAGGAAAGGTTTATTTCAGCTCACAGTTTCAGATATTTCAGTCCATGGTCACTTGGCTTTGTTTTTAGGCAAAGCAAAACACCATGACACAGAGCACATGGTGGGGCAAAGCTGTTCACCTCATGGCAGTGAGGAAGCAGAGAGAGAAGAAAAGATTAGGTTCCCCACATCCCTTTAAGGGCTTGTCTGCAGTGATCTAATTTATTTCCACTCATCCCTGCCTACTAAAGCTTCTACTACCTCAAAATAGTGTAATTAGCTGGAGGCCAAGCCTTTAATACATAAGTTTGGGGGACATTTAAAATCCAAACCATATTACCTGCTGTCTGAACCTGTCATATGAACTTCAGCAGAGTGCCCTTAGCACTATCGAGTTTATTTCCCATATACAGATCATTTCTCAACAACAGAGTTATGGGCTTACTGAAAACAGGAACAGTGTCTACCCCTTTGGATCTTGATACTGAACGTATGTCATCCTCAATACTATTAACTGTTATTATGCTTTATATCAACAATGTTTCCAAAAGACCTCGTGCACTCATAGGCAGGGCTTTGGAAGAGGACTGCAGCTATCATTGACTTGCTGTGAGGAGATGGGGCCTGGTCGGGAGAGATGAGTCATGGGGAGCAGGACCTGCTAAGATGTATCTCCCTCGGGCTCCTCCCCTCACCATGACTTGATCAGTTTTCCTCCACCAGACTCTTCCACTATGTGCTTCCTACCTATGGAATAAAAATAGGAGCCAAAATGAACCTTTCCTCCTTTAAGCTGAGGTGTCAGGCATTATGTCTCATCAATAAGAAAGTAACTAAGATATTAACTTTTTAAAAATTTTCAGAGGATTAAGAACAAAAATTTGAGATTACGTTGTCTTCATTCAACACATTGGAGCACTGCCATTTGATGCCTAGACCTACAGGTAACACAAGAGAACAATGAATTATCACAGAAATCCAAAGAGCTCAGACTGAAGAGCAGTCCCTGGGAAAAGCCAAGAAGTTTGGACAGGAAAAAGAACCATGAAAGGACTTTCATAATTGAGCACAGCATCACACACCTGTAACTGCAGCTATTCAGGAGCCTAAGGCAGAAGAATTGCACATTCAAGTCCATCCTGAGCAACTTTTTAAAAGCCTGTCTCAAAATTTAAAAGAAAAGAAATTGGAGATGTAGCTCAGTGGTAGAGCTCTTGCCTAGAAAATGCGAGGCTCTGGGTTCGATTCCCAGTGCTGGGAAGGGAAAAAAACTTTGTAAGAAGGGAAAGATTCTTCTGATGGAATTACTCAAAATGGATAAATTTAGGGCAAGTTAAAGGCAGGAGGGCAGAGGTAAGGGGAAAAAATGAGAATCAAGACTTGCCATGTAGAGGTACATGATCCCAACAATGAATGTAACTGTACTGTATCCCTAAAATGTACCAATAAACTCAATTAAAGCTGAAAAAAAAATAAAAAGACATATCTTTGTGGGGGGGAGAGACATACATACGTATAAAAGGAATATGTACAAATATCTCTTCTTCCAAAAATAGAATTCAGAGAGTTTGCAAAAATTCATACCAGATAAATGCTAAAAGAAATTGGTTATGGAATTGAAACAAAGAAATAATGCTTAGAGAATAAAATAGAGAGTAAAGTTATACAAAATTCATGCTATGAGGAAAACATAATCCACTACATGAATCATTGTATAAATAAGGTAAAGACAAACCAATTTCCCAGGATAAATTTAATAATTTCCTTTTGAGGTCTTCAAACAAAAAATACTTTGATGGGCCAGGGATTTAGCTCAGTGGTGCTGCCACCTGCCTTGCAAGCACAAGAATCCGAGTTCAATACCTGGTACCCAAAAAAAAAAAAAAAAAAAATACTGTGCTCTTTGATGAAGAATATAAGTATCTTTAAAAAATATTCTTAAATATATCCAGTAAAATAAGCAGACAGGTATGCTATTGGGGCAGAGGAGAGGAAGGATCAAGCTCAGTGGGAATAATGGAAACGAGAGGCTCCAAAGCAACAGGATCATTTTCTGTCTGGTCTGGCTTAATTTGGGGATTTTTGCCCCCTGCTTTGGTAATACTGAGGATTGAACTCAAGACCTTTGCATAGAGCTACAACCCCAGTTCTTTGTTTTTTTTATGTTTTATTTTGAAATAAGGTCTTAGGTAAGTTAATTAGTTGCTCAAGCTAGGCTCCAACTTGCAATCCTCCTGCCTCAGCTTCCCAGGGTGTTAGGATTATAGGCATGTGCCAGCATGCTGGGCTTGGAGACAGATTCTTTTAAAAATATCTGTTTCTCAAAATGTGATCTATAGACCATCACTACAAATTAAAGTACTTTTTTTTTTTAACCAGGGCTCAAACTCAAGACCTTGCACTTGTGAGGCAGGCTCAGTGCCACTGAGCTAAATTTCTGGCCCTAGTTTTTTAAAAATGTAGTCTCCTAGGATCTCCCCAAAATACAATAAATCAGAATTATTTAGGGAAAAAACTTCAGGAAGGTAGCATTTTTTAAAAGTTTCCAAACTATTTCCAATGTACACTGATGTTTAGGAACCTTTAACTAGAACCAAATTTTTCAGTCTATGGATAGATTTGTCATGGGTATGAAATCAATTCATAATAAGTACTTTAAAAATGAAATACCAAGAGCAAACCTCACATCCCCAAGCTGAAAAATTTTATGGATAAGAAGGTATCTTTGAAATTAAACGGTAGCAGACATGTATCAAGGAATAGTACAGAGATTTGATCCCTTTATGAATTATGTGATATATAAATGTGTGGAAAAGGCAACTACTGGACAACAGAATAATATTGGAATAATAGTACTCCCGTGTTTAAGCTTTGGAGATTAGACACCAAGTTCTCTGATGTCTTGGAATTGACATTTCTGAGGAAGGTATAAAAAATCATAGTGAATATGAAAAAATAATAGCACCATGTTAGAGGATTTGCAATTAGTTTCAATAATAGCTGTTCAGCAGAGAAATTCATGCCCCTCTTTAAAGGGTCTGGTCTACTATGATGTATAAATAAATAAATAAATTCATGTACATCACACAAAAATTTTTGCTAAATAAAAAATAAAGCTGAAATAGTAAATAGGTAAGACTGACTATATCAGGATACACACAAGTTACTGGGACATGGAATTAGGGGGGCTGGGGATGTGGCTGAATGGCTCAGGGTACCATGTGCAAGCCCTTAGATTCACTCCACGGTTCCCCCTCACCAAAAACAAACTGGAATTGGGGTAATTATTATTTAGGATAAATCTTGTAAATAAACATAGATTATTATATGAAATACATATAAATTAACATAAATAAAACATAAGTTTTTACATGCGTGTGTGTGTGTATATATATATATATATATATCCTATAGTGATTATGAAATATATATGCCATTATAAGGTCAGATATGTATATTATATTTATAATAGCTCTGTACTTTTCCCCATGAAAATAAACCACAACATTCATATATATGCCTATAAGGTCAGATATGTATATTATATTTATAATAGCTCTGTACTTTTCCCCATGAAAATAAACCACAACATTCCCTGTGAACTGCTTTCTCCACTGTTAATATTATTGTATTTTTTTTCTTGGTACTGGAGATCAAACTCGAGTCCTTGTGCTTGTGAGGCAGCTGGCAGAACCACTGAGCTAAATCCCCGGCCCTCTCTGCTGTTATTATTAAGCTCTGAGCAGCACTGAGTCTGAAATCATCCCAGTGAGAACTTGTAGCCAGGTAGGAGTTATGTATCCTAACCTGTCAGACCAGCTAGGGCAGAAGTTAGACACATTTGTGAGATTCAGAAGTTAGACAAAAACTGGAAACTGAACACAGGTCTAGAGACCTAAACAAACTCCCTGAAGATCTGCCCAAGGTCCTCTTTAAGAGAGAATTTGGGGTCCAGCTAACAGAAATGGAATGAGTGAATCTAGGCTCATTTCTATAACTGAACAGCAGTTCTCCTATTGGCCACTTTCTCCCTCTCTTCCCCAACTAAGTCTCTTAAAAAGCTGATCTTGGCCGGGAATTTAGCTCAGCGGTTCGGTGGCCTGCCTTGCAAGCACAAGGACCGGTGTTCAATCCCCGGTACAAAAAAAAACCAAAAAACTGATCTTGGCCTAGGGATTTAGTTCAGTGGTTCCGGCACTCGCCTTGCAAGTGAAAGGACCGGAGTTCAATCCTTGGTACTAAACAAAACAAAACAAACCTGATCTTTCTGAATGGACAGTTGAGGCATCTCTTCCTGCCTTTTCCACCTAGGAAATGCCTGTTTTTCACAGCCAACCTGAATTTCTACATCCTTGATGAAAATTTCCCAAAACCACAGTCCAGACTCCTTTCTCTGAATTTTTTTTTTCTATTTACAGTATTGCGGATGGAACCCAGAGCCTCAAGCATGTTAGGCAAACATTACCATTTAGCTATACCCTCAGCCCTAAACTTTTTAATCACAATTTTTCCTTTATGAATTCTTACATTCACTCAAAACAAATACTTACTAAGCAGCTATTGTGTGTAAGTACTGTGATGGTAGGACATTCACATGGCTTTCAACTGTCTATACCACTGGGGCAAATTACTTATATTGTTGGACTATATGTCAAACAGGAATCGTTAACTAACTGGCTGTTAATATGCATTTTGCTTCCCACCTATCTTTTTTTCTTTTTCTTTTTAATTTGGATAATAACAAATGCAGTGAGAACATGAAAGTTCGGAGCAAGTAGCTGTGCTCATTTTCCTGTAGCTTTATAATACAAGGCTGCTCCTGTATAGATATGACCTTCTTTTGTTGTTGTTTTTTTTTTTTTGGTACCAGGAATCAAACTTGGGTCCTTGTACTTGTGAAGCAGGCAGCTGAACCACTGAGCTAAATCCCCGGCCCTAGATATGACCTTCTTAAACATATTCAATATGCCAGAAATGTATCTGAACACATTCCAAACATCATTTATCCTAAAAAAGCAAGCCTGCTAAATATGTTATAAACTTTTTTGTTTTAATTTGATCCACCAGAATGCTTAAATGAATACATAATATAATCTCATCTCCCTAGGAATACCCTAAGATGAAAGCTAAGGATGACTCGGTTCTTTCTTTGTTAAACAAGCTTTAGGAGGGAAAATAATTACCTTTATTTGCTTTTTTAAGCAATAAAATCAAAATTTTTAAATATCTCCATGGGATCAAAAATATATACTAGACTTCCATGATTGACTAGTTTGAAACAGCTGCAAAGGTGGTACGTTAGCTTTTAAAATACAGAATGCTATCAATTTGTAAAATTTTTGAAAACACAACCACAGACAAAAAAATTTAAAGCCATCTATAATTTTGCCACCTATAGAATAACACTTAGTTCTAGATTTGACTTTATCCTCTAGTTTATCAAATATTTCATGAAATCTTTGGATTTATTGGCCCTAATGCTAAGACTTTATCATCCATCCTTTGACATAATAGTAGAATTAAGTAGAAGAAAAGAATGTGGAACAGGCAATCTGTTCAGAGAAAATTCATTATGTACCTTTCTTAATGTAGCTATTAACATGGAGAGAAAAACTGTTAACAAAAGGTAACTATCACCAGGACAAGATATGCTATTATTGCCTTAATAACCAAATTACTCTGTGATATTAGTTTCGCTCCAGAACGTTATATCCTTAATAAGAAGTGCCAGGATGGGATGTGCTCTGCATTTTCACACTCATTTACTGCAATACCTCAGAGCATCATAGAATGTTCAATTGAAATGTAATTTTCCAGCTAAGTTACAGCTCTACAAAGGGTTAGGGAAACCCAAACCCTAGATTTCATCCTAGAGATTTTGAAGTTTAATGTTATTATGACTATTTCACATGCCAAGGTAAACCCAACGGTGTTAAGTTACACTTGTGGGATGGAGTAAAACTACAATTACCAACTTAACAACTGACTTATACCAAAAGCCAGAGACTTAAACTGCTGCTTTAAAAGAGACATAACTAATGTCAGTACTGGGAAGATGAAAGTAACT